TGCTCCGCTGGAGACATGGAAACGCTCCTGCTTTGCAGCTGCGTTACCCTGCTTCCTCGGGCTTGGACCCCTAAAAACAGCTTAAGGGGTAAGACCTGCACTCACTATAGTGTAGGCGAGTCATTCCTGCACCACTGAGACAAGAAGCACCTTTYGCTACAAGGAGATTACCTGAATAATATTATAAAACAGCAGAAGACTAGATTATAGGCCTGTATCTACACCCACCTWATGATGACCATGCCTCCAGCATGAATGAAACTTTAGGCACAAGCTTGGAAAGTGCTGCAAGGTATAAAAAAGGACAATATTTATTTTGTTTATGCATCTCCTTTCTAGTGATTAATATCGCCACACTGAGAAAGTTAAACAAATCCAATATTTGTAATATTTTCATGTTAATCACAGCCAGAACCAAATTCTACTACTTCTACCTTTTGATTAAATGCAAGTGAAAAAAATTTAAGAGGCAAAATGAAGAAGGAATTAAAAAAATGAAACAAAGAAAAGGTAACAGTAAGAAAAACAAAGAAAAAGTGACTCAGAAAAGCAAGGAGRAGAAATGAAAAGAAAGAAAAGGCAAAACAAGGAGAGGAGAGGAAAATGACTTGTTCATACCTGACTGCTTCTGTAATATAAAATCCAATTTAGAGAGAAATAGACGTGAGCTGTGCGGTGGTGTTGGGGGGCTTGGAGGAAGAGATAAGGTGGGTACTTTTTCTCTGCCGTACCCTCGCCCCGTCTTGCACAGTACACACACACACACACATTGCACTTAAGCTCCACACACGTGTAGTCCGTCATCAGCTCGGCAAACACTAAATAATGAACAATACGGAGACTGTCCCGGCATGATAAGTTGCTGCCCTATCCTTCCATTAGTACCACCCGCTGGAATTAATGATAATTATGTCACGTCCCATCTCGTACTTTTATTGAATTCTTATCTGTGAAGAGGCGAAGAAAGCTGTCGTCGGAGTGAGAGGGAAGGAAAGTGTTTAAAAAGAGATACTGCTGTGACAATGTCAAACCCAAATAAGAATATTTTCCCCCATTTAATTATTTCATTCCTAAAAGGGAAAGTAGCGATATGAAACAGCAAAATAGTGCAAGTTCAATGAGCAATCAGAAGTCTGCGCCCAGAGAGTTGTGACAACTGCTGATAAAAGGTTGAAGTCCTCTTCTTTCCTTTCAAAAAGGTGCTTCAATTCCCACAGCTCTAATTTAAAAGCAGCCYAAAAATAAACAGTGCAATCTGAATGGAATGTAAAAAAAGCAATCACTTTTATTCTTGAGATATTAAGATTATGTTCTCTTTTCAGGGATTTACTAAATAGTTTTGATGATCTGAGAAAAACAAAACGATTAGGTGTAACTATAAAATGCTCTTTCAAGTGGTGGGCGCTATTCCGCTCATACGCYAATATGCAACTAATATTTTGCTGAGCGGTCTAGCTTTTGCATTAAACATTAKAAATAAGTAACAGACATCATTCCTCCTAAATAAATTTTGTTTATTTTCCCCACTGCTAAAAATCTTACATTTCATTTGACCACGTTCTTAATAAATTCAACAATATTCCCTTTCACATGCAACAGTGACATGCTAATGAAGCTATGCTACGTTAGCAGTGCCCACCATTCCATCAAATATCTTCATCATCTTAAGATTTATATTAAAATTAGATCCAATCTGACATCTTCTGTTTCAAATATCTATCTTCATGCCATTATACTCTCAACCATGTCGTACTGTTTACCTGTTTGGTCTCTTACAACAA